TTAGTTTTTTGATACTAAATTAACATCTGAAGTGTAATTTTTTATTGTTTTTATATTTTTCAATATATTTATTTTGTTTGTACAAAATAAAAAAATAATTTTTAACGATACAATAGTCTTTGTTAGACTTAACATCGACGAAAATTCAACGCGAAGCGACACGCAACGGAGAAAAATTTCGACATCGGATACGTTAAACTATTTTTTCGTACATAAATCGGTTATCCGAAATATCAGTTATACGAACAACCCAGTCCCCAATTGATTCGGAATATCGACGCTCTACTGTATATACAAAAGACAAGAAGTGATTTAAAGTGTTGTGAAAACCGTAATTATCTGTTTTTATTAAGATATAACAACGCAGCGCTTAGACGATCTGCCTAAAAGGGTGCCTTCCGGGAGGTCTTTTTAAGGGTAACTGGCCCCTATTCAGGCGTTACAGACGTGGAGAAAACCCGGAAAACTCCACGTAGTCAGCCAATCCTGCGGAGACGCGACCGAACTTTTAGTGTTTAGAGAACAGAACCGCTTGGTCACTGTTGGGCCGTAAATTAATTAAGATTAAATTTACAATATTAAAGTACTATTTTTGTCTGTGATTTTAATAGAAACTTCTGCACATTTCTTTTCTTTTTCCATCACTCCTGTTAAATCGAGGATTGTGGAAAATATAGAATACAATCCGCTGACCATCTGCAAAAAAATCACAATTGACAAATGCAATTACACAGCTGAAAAATTAAATAAAGGTTTTACTTACCTTGATAAAAAAGTCCTCTTTTATATAGAAGAAACCGCCAATAGAAATGGCCAAAGGAATTTTTCCAAATCTTTTCATAAAATCATTCAGCTAAATTGGAAAAGTCACTTTATATATTGATAATTTTCAATTTTTTTTCAAATATTCAAAAATATTCTGACATAGATTACTTGTGGTGAAAATTAAAAATTGAATTTTATTCGATTTTCAATTTCATTTTCTTTGTAAGCATATTATTCTTAAAATGATTACGTGAAGAGAAAGTTCCGACTATATTTCGCGATCCGAATCCAACACAATCGGTGGTAGTGGAAAAAAAAGATCCTTTGCAGCCCTCACCATTTAACAGAAAAAATCTCAACGTTCGTTTTTAGCGCTTTTCCTGAATCTTACAAACAGCATTTGCAATTTTTAGAAATCCTAATAGTAATTTATTTATTGTAATTAATGCACTACAGTTTTATTGTATAATTCCGTTTATACAAATGTGATGTAACAGAGATTGAAGACATTTTCCATAAATTCTTTTCCTCAACATATTGTAAACTTTATAAAAAAATATACTAAATCGATTACTAATTCTAAAATACAATTTACACTTACCTTCAGTTTGAACTCTAATGGTAGATCTGCAGATGCAAGTTTGTATATAGACACAAAATCATCATAGAGCTGTAACAAAAATAATACATTAATTAATTTTTTAAAATTTCATTTCATTATATGCTTTATAACAATTCGAAGTGTTCAGCATTAAAATACAGTGGTTACCTTCGAACTTTATGGTAAAAATATTTATTTTTATGATACATCGATTATTTTCGGTGTGTTATTCATGCAATTTACATGTTAATTGAATGCAATCTTAAACGCAGTGAAACAAACTAGTCTGTTATATTATTAATGAATGCTGGTCTTTGGTCGCGGGTTCGTACCTTAGAAACTGGCATTGATACGTTTCATGCCATTTTTTTCATGCCATTGTGCTTTCACACGATGAACAATAAAAATTGTTGTTAGTGCTATTAAATTCAGAAATACGAATAACATTATATATTTAACAGGATTTGGAGATAAACATGTAAAAGAACCAGCGTTTAATTGCAAAAAAATATTGAAAAATATAAACCTATTTTTGTTATGAGGTTAATACTTACCAACGACACAAAAGATGACAACACTTCACTTATTGCAAGACAACCTGCTAGAAAACAAAAGCAAAGAATTGTAAGAAAAAATTTGTAATCAGGATCTACAGTCACGAATATCACAGCATATAAGATGACACAGGTGAAGTGCATAAAGAATCCATATATTAAAGGTGTTATCATTTCCCATTCTACGTTCGCATGTTCTGTAAGAGCCCGTATTTCTACGTGTTTGTTGATAAATTTGTCTAAATTATTTTTCAAATCTGTATTTTGCGATTTCATATTTGCAAGCTCTTCAGAAAGTTTCGTTAGTCTGTTCATTACGACAAGACCTAGACAGCAAAGAACAGAGATTAATGATATAACGTGTGCTGAAACATAAATATATATAAATGTAGCGCTAACAGAACAAACGAATGCTTCGCTGTCTGATCCATTTTGTCTTTTAACTTCTAAGTATATGACAATCTGTGAGAGAATCGAAATACATAAAAAATCCAAAAATAAAAATATGAATTAACAAATTTGTAAGAGTTGCATCTTATCAATTACTTTATATTCTTCCTTGTACCAGCTTTGAATACAGTGCAAATATAATTTCTTTCTTTTTAAAATACTGAACTGTGCCGCTGCATAGAGGATTAGTGCCGTGTTTACTACTGCACCATGCACTGCGTAATCCTTTAAATAATGCACGATTCGTAAGCAATAAAAGTCTAAATTAAATATCCAATAAATGTAAACAACAGCAATTGTCCATAATACTAATTCGATAGAATGACAATATATTTTGAATAATTTTGAAAGATTTGTTCTTTCATTTCCTCTTCTTTGTAACATGCAATGACACGGAACTACGAAATCCATTCCAAATATTTTTGCCGAATCTAAAATAGGACGAATCATGACACCGAGACATATGTTCTGTTGATCGGGATAATTCATTTTCGAACTACACGTGTACAATTATAACATGTATTGTTCTGGTGTACGTTGGTCTGCCTTTCTGTTTTCTCCAATTTCTCAACTGCAATCAAATATATTTAACGAATGCAATAATGGACATTGGTATGGATTTATATTTACATTAACCGTTATATAAATTTAATAATGTTTAGAAGAATGATTTCCCTTGTTCGAGTAAATAAATGTAATGCGGAAAAGTAAATAGAGCAGTTGAATACAAAGATCGATAAGCATATTTCTACGTTAATGGAAGCATGTTAGACAGATTTATTGTACAAAACGTCTAGTTATATAAAGACCATTCGGAGTATGAGATTCAGCTTTGATATTTAATTCTGCGGTAAATCTGAAATTGAAATACATTAAACACGATAGCTTTATTGAAGCGCGAGATGCGACTCGCGATTGCGTGCGGTTGATTTCGGTCGATTATTTCTATCAAAGAATTATATTTAGAAGTATGGTTTTACGGACATCTTTGCTTTTATCGACATGATCTACAGTTTTGATGGCCCCCAACAGTAATCTGCAATCTTAACCTAGTTCACATCTTCAATATGATAATTCGAACGACTTACCTGTTATGTTTGAATAGAATGTATTAATATTAATTAATAAATTATCATATTAAAGTTTTCTGAAAATATAGATCTAGTAAAGAAAGACAACTAAAATCATCGTTGGTAGACTAATAGAACTAAACAAACGGATGCACATTTAAAGGTTAATGAAAGAATACCACTTCATTAGCGCACGTGATTATTTGTAGCTAGTAAAGTATGGTTTACACCACAGCACCACGTATTGTAGTGTAAAATATTATTAATGATAAAATCTTCTTATAAATATTTATGGAAATAATTGAAATTGTATTTTCAACTTCATTCGTAAAATTTGAACCTTTCCTGGAGGCGACATCACGAGTTATCAATGAAAATGAGCAATTATTTACTGTGGCATCGTCACAATGCTGGGCTGCAATATTTATTGTCGTATTTTTAATTTAAAATATATGCTTTTCACATCAAATTAGAGTCTCTTGCCCTTGTACATCATACTTTCTTACTGGCAATAAAATCGTTCCTGTCATATATCTAACTCCTGTCACGGGAAAATATTTGAATTGAAATAACGCGACATCCGGGGCAAACCAGACAACCAGACGTTCCTATACCGTTAACCGAGACCTCCTGCCTCTATACTTTATGTATCTAGTCTCGGCTTTTATCTATGTAGCTTCGCTCTCGAGATAAATAGTACTGGAAACTATAATGGTTTATAATTTACATTGTTTATATGTTAAAAATTAAAAAAAAAAAAAAAACATATGTATGACGGTAATATGAAAAATAAAATGAACATTCTAAAATTTCTATAAGTTGATTATGTAGTATTGATAATATAAAAGAATATTAGTAACGTTTTATATTCATTACTAAATAAAATTCAATTGTACTTCACAATGTTGTAGTTTTAAACATTCCGAAAGTGTTTAGGTTTATTCAGTAATAAGATATTTGATCATTTGAAACGCGGTTTAAACGAAATTTTTAGCGTTATTTTGTAGAGAAATATGTAAAATATGAAACAATAATGTAGTATTTAGATATATCTGTAACAGATTCGAACAGGAAGTAAACTGATGTAATGCCTTAGACGAGAATTTATTAAGAATGTGCCATTAGTAAAATTCTTTTTAATATTCTCTACTGCAGTATAAACAGTTGTTACACAAATTTGTACATGAAATTACATAGGATTGAACTTTAGATCTTACAGTTGTAATAATAAACTGTTTAAGTTTGCTTAAGGTATATTTGTTATTATTATTATTATTATTATTATTTTGTTTTTGTTCATGCTTGTGAGATTTATTTTCTACACCACTGTCACTTAAACGTACGAAAAAATATGGTTATTTTTACTATTTTTTTTAATAAATTTTAAATGTGTTGTTAAAGTTTTGGATGCAGATAAAGAAACCAGAAAAGGGAAAATTTTGTCTCTAAGAAATATTTAAAGATCAAACCTACACGAAGGATACCACGACATCAGAAGCACTAACAATTCACACGTATTATAAATACGCATTACCAGTATTACAAAGTCATTTATACATTTTTCTTCTGAAAACAATATAAACGGAATGTATTTACCAAAAACAAAACTATTATATATATAATTTTAAAACATCGTCGATTTTTGTTTTTTTCTTCACTTGCACGAAAAACATTTTCTTTGTTGATATATTTTTGTATTATTTCATAACACTGGCTTGAATTTTAGTTTTACGTTAACAACAGACGTTAAACGTATTTTTCAACTCTTGTGTTTTCCCGGAAAGAATTCTTCATTTAGTACACAGGAATGCTCTTGAATGTTGAGTAATGAATCTGTAACAAAAAGTCTCCAATGAAACCGGATACAAGAATGACGTCATATACTATTTTCTAAGTCATATTTAAATATTTTCACATTAAACTAATAATTTTAGAAATTCTTCTTTGGATATTTCTCGCCATAAAATTACAGCTGGGTTTAAACCTGAAAATGAAACGAATGGAAATTAATTTTTTTATTCAGAAACAGTATATTTATATGTTTGAAATAAATTTATAGTAACTTTATCTACGATTTTTAAAAACAAGAAAATCAGGTATAAATGTATTTTACGAAGAAGAAACTACCTTTCGGTTCTTCTTCTTCTTCCTTTCCTCACGGTTTGCATGGAGATATTAGCCGTGTAGGCTCTTTCTCCGAATCGACTTACTTTTCAGCTTTCACATTTTATAGCTTTTATTGTAAAACTGAAATTTATAAAAAATTCAACCGTTTTTTGAAAGTTGTTTTTAAAAACACCTTCAGAACAACTAGAAATCTACTTACTAATTTAGTCAAGAAAGACACGTAAAATATCACAATACTTATTACCACAGTCCACAAACAATAAGGATATTCGATACATCACCAAATGTTACCCGTAAAATGTATTATTATCCTCTTCTGCTTCGTAAAAATTCTTCCTGTTTTCTTTCTAGTGAGATGCTCAACGAGGTTATCTCCTTCCATCAAGACTGAAAATCATGTTACTGATCCGAAGATGGAGCCAAAACGAGCAGCGAGAAGACACCCAAATAACACGTTTCCTTCGATTTCTTCCTGAAAGATTTCATCAGAAAACAATTTTCAATTTATTCAGTGGAATAAAAACAGCATTTCTCTAATCCAAAGCTGCACTCGCCGGACTTCGACGCGACCTGTCAATTTCGAAAAGAATGGCGCCATCTAATATTTAAAATTCAAAATTTTCTAATTTCTTTATTTTTTTTCAAAACTTGTGAGTCTAAAATTCTAAAAATAATCTTTCATTGAAATAATGTTAAAAATGAATTCTGTCAAAACTGTTATAAATAATTATTTTGAACCCCAAAAGTCACAAACAGTGGTGGAATGTAAACTAAGTTAGCAGAAAATCCACGTTTAATTATTAAATCCGTTCTCCATTTTTATAATTTATTAATTATGAACTATTCGATTCTTTCTTTTCCATTCCTCAAACGTTAGGTCCGTTCTTTTTGATATTCGGAAATAATTTTAATAAGCGAAATCGCATTCGGTTTAAGATTGTTGAATACCCGGATGTTAGGTAATGTGATCGGTGTTTGTAATAATTCTATCGTTTTTTAAATGAAATAACTTCCCGTGCAGACGTAATAGTTCGGATTTATCAAGTCGGGTACAGAAAATCCTTCAATTAAACCGTCTAAAACGGAAATATTATCCGGATCGGACTCGTTTCGGTACGCAAAATTTAAATATTGCAGACCAGGGAAGAATTCGCAGTATCGTTATTTGGATCTCTTGAGTACTAAATCGGAAGAGGATTTTCAGAAACTTATCAAACTACTAGATCGGTAGTTGAGAAAAATGAAGATTGCAGAAATCTATGTCGAAATTATCACGGCCCACACAAAAATACCGCCAAAATCCCGAACGACGATCCTCGCCATGTTCATAACCAATATGTAAAATAGTCTAAAATGTCACATGTATACATTTTAGACGATTTTACATATTTGTGCAGAGCTGTAGCCTACAGAACGTCATCGCTGCAGTAAAAAAATGGTTTTTCCATGTGATTGGACATGGCGAGCAAGCAAGATACGACTAGTATTTGTAATGCAATTTTTACTCTATTAAAATAATATCAGTCACATATATTCACAATTTATAATCACAAGGATCAGCACACGTACACACGTATTCGTTCGACAATCGTCGCACATCCGAGGGTCTGACCGTGCCTATAATTCTTTTTAAGCAAACGTCTTTGCTCTTCTCTTTATCTTTCCTCTATCGCTCTAGTCCACGTACGCCTATGCATATATCATAATGTGAAATTCGAAGTTCGTATAATTTCATAAAAAAAAGTAATCCTTTAAAATTTTAATAAATGTAAATTAAAATTCCTTTAATCAAAGGAATTTGACCCTACCGAAACAAAATGTATATTACATGAGAAATTTATAACTCTTTCTATTTAACTATAAACATTCTCACGGTTAATCCGTGAATAGTTCACAAGTATCGACGAAATTCGTCATATTGTTGTCATTCGATCACCACCTTTAACCTCATACCTGCTAAAACAATTGATCACCTGACTAATTTTCCCATCGAAAAGGGTATAAAAGCCCGACACCTTCCCCTCCTCGGGGGAATCGTCGAACGTCGAAGTCGGACATCGCCTTCTCCATCTCAGCCCTACACTTCCACTTGAGTCACCGATCAGAATACCTTTGGACGACATCACGGGGAAAGGATCCCACTAATATATGCAAAGAGGTATGATCGCATATTATTGTAAACTCTCTCTCCTATCTGCGAAGTCGAAGGAATTTCGTGTAAAGTTTATTTAGTTAGTTTAATAAATTCTTGTTTGGTTTAAATGGTGTCGTAACTCGACTTAGCCAATGTCTTATCGTCGACCCCTCCGACTCTCCTCCGATCGCGTAACGCGTAACTGGACGAAACGCCATCCTTGACAAGAAAGTAAGTCACCGACCCGTGACCGGAAAGAGAGAACATCCCGACCTCCCCCGGTGGCTCACAATAATGTGCGCGCACGATACTTTCGATTCGTCACTTTTCCTTCGTAGCTTTTCCATTTTACAATTACGTGACTCATAGCCTGGTGATAACGGAGAAAAGAGACAGACAGGACGTCAGTATAAGTCACAGTTATGATTTCACAGATTCCACACAGCTTGGTAGCCCGAACGGCACCAGGTTTTCGCCCGTGCACGCTTAGTGACTTTCATTACAAGCATTTAGCTTTCCGAAGTCTATAAAAACAATTGTTTGGCATTGACGGCAACGAATTTCACGCCAATAAGCTGCATCGACTTGTTCGATTATGTTATCAACTCAATTTCAGATTTATTTTAACATTTTAACTTCGCGATCCTTTTCTGTTCTTTTTCTGTTATTTACACGTATAGGTCATTTCACAGTTATCCACATTTCATATAATCACTAATCACATACTGACATGACACTCTTGTCTGTACGCTACAACTGTCAAGAATTAACGAAATTGGCGAAGCCTACTGACAGCGGGCCAATAAGAGAACAGGGTGCGCGATCCTTGCCATAATACGTTTTGCGCGCCAATTTTCGTACGTGCGTTAATCAAGCCGAATAGTTTGACCGAATATTCAATTATTCGGCTACGCTCCTGACTGAATATACCAAATATATTCATTGCATTACTAGAAAATACTGCTGTTCAAATAAAAAATACAGCGTAGTAAGATCATCAATCTAGAAAATTTGCCAGTGTCTCAGACAATGTCATTATTGTGAAGCAGGAACTCAACAAAATGCAAGATACGTGATGTTGGTCTTCCAGTAATATATAAACAACATAGTAATATATAGGATATAGCTAACGTAATAACCATATGCTTAATATCCTATATAAAAAATGCTTTATAATTTATATAAAATAATAATACATTTCATTATAAACCTTGTCAATAGACTTTTTTTCTCATTCAATATGTAAATATATTACAACGACTTTCGTAAGTTTCTACTTAAACTTAATCATAAAACATAAACATAATAATAGCACTAATATGTTTCATAAAAAGTATTAAATAATACATTTAATAAATTTCGTTATATTTAAGTTAATTCCGCCGTGAAAACTTCAATTCATTTCTCGCCATTCCTTAACATCTTACAAGTTTTCGAATGAGAAATATTCAAAACAGATGACCCACTCGACGGCGCCAAATACTCTGTCGCCATTTCGTCCACTTCATCGGCCTACCACAATTACCTTTTATCTTATTATTTACGAGATATTTTACGATATCGTAACTTACGATTGGAAGGTTTGGTCAATTCGGACTCATTTGACGTTCCAGTTAATAAATTCTCCCAAGAAATTTTCATAAAACTTAAAACTTTTTCGTCCTTCCCACTTACTGTTAAAATACCGTTTCATATTCTCTAAGACGATCGCGTAGACGGCGAAGAGTTCGTCTGAATTCAAAAATAAATTTAAAATTCGAATGACCGAAAATTTCTTGTAATTTAAAAATATTAATTCATTTCGAAAACTTTATAACATTAATATTCACACAGTCTGAACAGTTTTTATATATTAAATTTTTCTTAATTTCTATTAATAAAATTTGTTTATTAGTTTAGTTTGTATGCGATGTATTAGTTTATTCAATGCAATGTAATATATACATATATATATATATATTCCAGCTACACATTCGCTTCTTTCCCTGTGGGCTGATCTTAACTCTGCCTCTGGGAATCCGTAGATGACGATGGATTTAATCGTAGCATTTATGGCTTCTCTAACGAGATCACGTTTGTTTTTAACCCGGGAAATCCTGCAAATTCTTTAAAAGCGATCTTTTTTAACATTTTGTGTTGAAGTTGACGAAATTTTTCCAAATAGAAAGTATAATTAACTCATAAACTGTCAGAATGTGTTTGTATTTATTAATTTTAAACGGATGGCGCCACACACGCAGTTTTAAATGTTGCCGGAAAAGTTATTCAACTCGTTGCTGGTTTATTTAAATTTTTTGTACATTAGAAATTTATATATATCTTACTTAATTCAGATTAAATTAAGACAATACGAATATTTTCTTAGTGAATACTAGTTTTATTTTCACAATAACCGTTTCATTCTTTTGCAGAATGGATAATTATAAACAATTAAGGAAATGACACACCTTAGGAGTCGAAATTGAGTTTCAAAAATAGCTGTCAAGCATTAAAAGCTTCGAGGAAAGGGGTTTGCTTCTATAAAAAAATAAATGTTTTCTTTGCCGTGATTATCTTCATGTTTCATCTTAGTCTTCATCATCCGAAGACTCGTCCTTCCACTTCGATTAAATTTAAGCTTCTAGAACAACGATGGTGTGATGTCAGTCATCGGTAAAGTGACGATAAAAAACAAAAATCAGTGTTTTTCGATTTTAAGGACGTTTAAACAATAGCGTAGCACAAGCTATAGTTCAAACGTCTATAAATGTGGACAAGGCCACTTATATTATACAGACATTTACATTGTGTTTGAACCAGTGTTCTACTGCTAACAATTTTCACCACAAATAGCAAATGTACTATAAAAGGAAAATCATTTCGAACTTGAACTTAAAAAAAAGAAAAAAAAAAGAGGTGTATCTGTGTCGGGAACAAGGAAGGCCGTGTGTTTTACATTAATACATGTAAGTTAACAGGTAATATTTCTTTGAGCGTATTACACTGAATTTATGTCATAATCATTCCTTAATTAACAGTAAGAAGTCCAGCGGTCTTGTGAGATATTAACATTAAATTTTCCGACAATCATGATTGGTGTAGTGAGATCTGGTTCGTATTCGGGTATAATCTTAATGATGTTTTTTACGTTGCCGGCACCGTTTCGATCTATCATATTGTGTTTTATGGGTATCACTGAATTGCTCTTGAGAAGCCGTTTCCAACCGTAAACGATTTCCTTATTTTGATTTGGCTTTTCGACGAGTATATGCCGACATTGTATTACGTTTTCTTAATTTTTAACTTTAAAACCATATATATTCACCATAACTATTCCACACTAATGTTTTCTGTACGCAAATAATAAATATTGTCGAGAGCTGTAAATTGAAACTCAAATGAGAGTCGTAGCTTTTCCGATTCAACATGTAAACTAAATGGAAAATATGTGACGAGGCGAATATTGCTATGCTGATTTGAGAAACTTTAAAACTAGACTATTTATAAACTACATGTGTTTTGTTTATAGTTTATAAACCTATCAAAAATTTAAAAAAATGATATGTCATAATGAGTAAACTAAAATGTTTTAGAGTTTTATATTTTCTTGTACATCTAAACGATGCACAAAAAATACAATATAGAACCCTAAAACCTTAAAATATATCAGTAAAACTCGCAGTAAAACTGAATTGCGCTCTTTCAAAAAACATTTTGTAACTAAACGCATACGTGTCTCTGATAATTCGTCTTTGATTTGTGAGTATGAGAATCAGACCCTCACACTCTGTAGTTATTATAAAAGTTCGAATAATACTTATTAAAAACTTGCTTTATTAACTTAAATGACAACTACTGTAAAACACTTAAAGCGTTTTATTAATTCATAAGCCATGTTTAATTATAACTAATAGTACATAACAATTACATGTTAAAAGCGCTACCGTTATATGATGATTTGAGAAAACTTTTAATTGTTCTCTTAGTCGTGAAACTAAAGCTACAAATATAGGGGACATTAACACATTCGAAACTGTAATTAATCTTTACTTATGTAACATAGATGATGAATTACAAGTATTTGAAAAGGTGGTAGCTAATTGCAAAATTTTTGTGTTTTATATAGTCATAAGTTCTACCCCAACTTTTATTGACATTAAAATTATTGATTGTCTTCCACAGTGTGAAAAATGATTAAATATGATTCTGCTAAAAATTATTTGCGATAAGTTTTGAAAAGTTTGAGTTTCAAAAATGAGTCAAAAAGAAAACTATTTTTTATAAAAACAGAACATGAAAATAAACTACGGTTCAACAGCAACGCCATGTTTTTCAAAAACCAATTGCATTTTCAAATAAATTGGTAACAATTTGACTTATGAACATCATAAGTTCTTGCTTTATTGAGTCAGACTAGATTTGCAGATTCGCATGTTTTTTATGAAAGAATTTCTTTCAACTATAACATAAAAAATTAATTCAGAAATCAATTGTTGTAAACCTACTAATTATTAAATTATTAGAAACTTCAAGAACGCTATACATTGACTAAAGTTTATTGCCACATTTGCTTCGATCTTCTGAACTATTTGTAGTTCGTCTACATCAACAGTCGGTGAGGGTGGAAGTCCAGTTTTCATGTATTCATGGTTCTGTAGCCGAAATCGAATTATCAAACGGGCAATCTCAAATTGTTTACCAGCTGCTTCTAGAAGCAATTCATTCAAAACTGAATTCAGAGCCTGTTCCACATTTTCGCTTCTAATTTTTTGGCATGTTGAAACCGATAAAACAAACACACTTAGTTTTATAACAAATAATTATGACATGATAAAAACTTGAAGTGGAAATAAAATTAAAAATTAGACTAATTACAATAGAAGATTGCAGGAACAAGAAAGATAGACGTATAATATTAAGCTAGGCGAACTTATACAGTGTACTTTAATGAAAGTTTTATAAAACTAAGCTATATAAATAAATACTGTATATTTAGATTTGAAATATGATATATCAGAAATTATAATGTTCTTCTCCTCTTGTGTACACGTTTATAAATCGATTTTTTTGAGAGATCGAGCCAGAGAAGTCTCTAATTTGCGTAATTTTATTATTTTTTTCCCTACAACTACGAATAAATACTATTACTTGTATCAATTATTGTAAATTTATATTGTTTAATAACACCTACCTATATATATTTAGATAAATTTACTAAATACGAATATTAAACTGTAAAAATAAAACACAGACAAAATATTGATGTGAAAGCATCGAAAAAGACAGCTGATTAATTAACAGAAAAATTAAAACAAGAAAGGAAAAATCTACACTGTCTGTTTTCATTACACCTGAAAAAAAAAAAAAATAGAATTTTTCAATATTCTAAAACCGCAGACAAATTCAAGCTAACACACATTGTTACTTGAATAAAAAACTATTGAATTTCAATATTCTCGAATTATGATATAGAGAAACCAGAAATTGTACGAGGGATATCATCAATTTTCAAGCACTGTTAGAACGAAACTCTTCTAGAAGTTTCTTATTGAACGAGACATAATTCTGTTTTAAGAGCAAATTATTAAAGGTTTAATTCGTGTTCGTGTGATTAAATTCAAAAATCTGCTCACAGTTTTCTTTCTTATTTGAAACGGTTTTCAGTTTTAAGAAGCCGGAAAAAATGGAATGTAGTGTACTTGCCATCTGAAATATAATGCAAAATCATTATCAAACCTATTTAGAAAAAGTTCTAGAAAATAATACTAAAAGAAATAGCAACCTTGAAAACAATTCTCTTATCTACCACTAAAAATTCGCCTATTGAAAGAGACAAGGAGACTTTTCCAAATCTTTTCATAAAATCTAGCATCTGAAAATATGAGTAGAAAANACCTTTTCGTTTCTCTGGGCCACATTGGAAGAAGTCATGGAGTTCTGGGCCACAAATATATTGTGACCCAATTTTTAAATATACAAATATATTTAAGGATTTACATGTCTAGATTATAGTAATAAGTATTAAAACTTTATCACGAAAAAAGGATATTTAAAAAAAATTACTTTTACAGACACTTTTAATTTCTACTTATAAATAGATAATTTTATTTATTATAAAGAAGTCAAACAAAAATTTATTTGAAAAACACAAATATTTGTTTTATTTTGGTCTTTAATTAATAAAACAACGAAACACCATTTTAAAGTGCATTTTTATTCAACTAATACATTTATAAATAATATGTAGCCCAAAATGTAGCCAATGCGCCAAATGATATTTTTTTACGCCAAACTAAAAAAAGGGGTACCTAAATTTGGCTCAAAGTAGACAAATCTTGCAACGCTGAAAAGAATATTAAATAGAGCTAGAGTTGGGATTCAAAGGATCATAGACCCAAATTCGGGGAATGGAGAGAAAGGTCAAAATATAAAGAAGTGAGAAAGGTTAAATAAAGTTTCTGTTACGCAAATATTTTCCAAACTTTCTCACTTTTTTTTTGGCCTTTCTCTCCTTTCTCCGATTTTTGGGCTATAGTCCTTTGAGTCACGACTCCAGGTTTATTTAGTATTCCTTCCTCATTCACACATTACAAATATTTGAAAATACTTCCTTTACATTAAAAAATATAACAGGTTTACGGCTTTGTGAAACTTCTTTTTTCAGGTTTATGCCGTACAAATAAATAAATAATTTAAAAATTTGTCGGTTTTGTTTAC